TATTCAGGATTTTGTTGTACATAATTTTATAACCTTTACTCTACTACTATTCAGGATTTTATTGTTGTAAATAATTTAAAATCTTTTGTTAACTTTCCATATTGCAAATAATTTATTATACGTTGTTCGTTTTCATAATGTATCGCTGGGGTGTTACAGTCCGTGTAAAAATATTTACAGACGAACATCTCACAGAAAAGTAGTTTCTTTAAAAATTGCCAATCGAGAAAGATAAATGTGAACAGTGGCGTAGGACAGGGTTGACTCCAACTCCCCGAAGTTATTTACAGCCCCCCTGGAGAGGGCCAGGAGGAATTGGGTCAAGAGACGTCAATGGAAACAGTTGCATAACTTCAAGCTCGGAGGAAAATAAAGATAAAGAAAAACCCAAGAAAACACTGACAATCGATGAATTGAATAAATCAGGACCGGATTTGTTCAAATTTAATTTTTGATATTTCTTTATGCATGGGATAGTTAAATTTACACAAGACAAATATGTAAGGCCAAAAGGAAGTTTAACTTGTATCTTTCAAAGATTTTTCTTGTTCTATTGGCAAGTTAATATATCTGGGTAAAAGCAAAAGCAATACTTTTCAAGGCATCATCATCGTCTCCAGGCATTCTGCGAATAAAAGCCCTAAATATCCGGAGGGCATAATAAGAGGAGAGACAAATGGGCCGGCCATATTTGAGAAGAGGCGACAGGCGGAGCAGATAATTACCTGGCATCCCAAAAGGAGAAAGAGGAAGAAGAGAACGACCGAAGCAAAGATTGACCGGGGTTCAACCAACTCCCGACACCTGAATCGAATGGTTGATTGGAAAACACTATTGTAAAAGAAAAACCGTTTATATCATGGAATTCTACAAAATATATTATAATTAATAGGTTATTTAATAAACGATCATATTTGACCTGATTCAGGAAATTCGATTAGGCCTTAAACACTAACACGAATGATATATATTTTCTAAAAAAAAGCTTTTTTTTTAAATAATATTAATGTTTAAACTGAATCCGGAACATGTTAATATATTCTTAGGTCCTACTTAATACAGGAATCCGGCTCAAAAAGCAGATCCGGTTGAGCTAACCGTTGATAGTTAACAAACTTTTTTTTGTACATAATTTTTTCTCTATGAACCTCACATGTTACGATTTATTACAGCTTTCAGGAAGGGAACGATTAATCATAAATAAGACCACGATTTCTCTGTTATTTCCTATTTTTATGTCAAGATTTTTTTTCTTTTTATGTTTTCCTGTTCATAAGCAACGTTTTGCCACCTTCATCTTCTTATTGAAAAATTAACGGGGATTTCAACGGTGCTTATAGATTTTAAGAGAAATGTTTAGATTAAAAGATATCACGATTTTCCGACGCCAGGACGTGATATCTTTCAAAATCGATAAAAAGCGAAATTACTCTGAAATGGTTGAGAATCGGACCATGGTCAATATGAACTTTTTTGTTCATTTTAGGGTCAAGAATCTACTGGTGAAGTTTGTAGCACGAGTAGCAAGTCACTCTCAAACATTAGCAATCCTTGAACCACCATTTTTTCTCTTTTTGTCATCAACATCTTGGTCTCACAACCACTAAATAAGAAAATGACGAGTGCGTTGGAAGCGTTATTAAATCAGGTAGTTTTCCTCAAATTTGCTGCCTTCTGAGACTAAAATTAGAAACTCTGGATTACTTTATACACTTTCCGATTTACACAATTTTCCACTCTTTTTGTAGTTCTGGCTGAAATAAAACACAAAAAATTAGCCCAAACATTTTGCCACCGTCATCTTCTTATTGAAAAATTAACGGGAATTTCAACGGTGCTATTAGATTTTCAGAGAAATGTTTAGATTAAAAGATATCACGATTTTCCGACGCCAGGACGTGATATCTTTCAAAATCGATAAAAAGCGAAATTACTCTGAAATGGTTGAGAATCGGACCATGGCCAATATGAACTTTTTTGTTCATTTTAGGGTCAAGAATCTACTGGTGAAGTTTGTAGCACGAGTAGCAATTCACCCTGTATATATACATGTGTATATATATGTGTATATATATATACATGTATGTATGTATATATACAGATTTATATGTACATTTTCAATGATTTCACATCTTTTAAAATTTTCCCTCCTAATCTTTTGCTAAGTTTTAATTTATTAGCTAATGTTCTTACAGTACCAAACTTTTCATTAGAATCAGAAATATTTTCTTCATCATATTATACTTATATTAGATTTCCTTTCTTTTAACGTCAATTTTTGGCTGGTCAAGACCATGTTAACAGTAAACAATTTTAAACTTTCAACTGAGTTGTTGAAATAATGTTATGAAAAATGCCGGAAAGACAAGAAGAATCGATGAGGAGGAGAGGTTACCAAAATTAAAGAAACACTCCAATCCAATGAATCAATAATTGTAAATATAATTCGAGGTCAATTTAACACTCAGAAATCGTTTATGGTGCCTAAGAAGAATTTAAAAAATAACCTGGCGTGTCTCCTATTCATATGTTTTCTCTAGTGTTACAGACTAGCATTTATTGACAGTAAGACGACACTCAAGAGTGTCCCTAAGTAGAGGTTTTTTAAATAAATAAATCGTGAATTTTCCATGACAATGCCACATTCGTTAAAACATGCTTTAATAGATTTTCATTATGATGAAGAGACGAAAACTCATGATTAATGATGTAAAATTGATCGACCAGCTGTTAGTCAACAATATATTTGGTAGGATCGGGGACTGGGGTCCTCTTTGTTTACGTCCTGATTTTGTCTGTGATAGTTTGTAAAAAGTGTCATTTATTCATTAAAAAACATTGTTCAGTATCAAAATAAGAAATGATAAAAAGAGAGAAAAAAGGTTTATACATGTTGATAAGAGAAAACAATTTTAAATACTGACTAATAATAATCTAGTCCTGAGGAAGGTGAAATAAAAAGTTGAAATTTTCGTTTTTTTAATATTTTTATTTAGCCGTTCTACTCAATTACTCAAATCAACTATGTGAATACATAATTTTACAGCATGTTTTATGTAGATTGCAATAAAAATGTAGTAAAAGCTATCAAAGTTTATCAATAGCCAAAAAATGTCTAAAAACTAAATATTTTTCAAGTAAACTAGGGTACACTTTTTTACGTGAAACTTAAAAGTGAAAGCACCTCTAGAGGCCCCTAACAAAAATTTTTGTTTGAAGTTAAATTTATCAAATTTTTTACTTCTAAAATTTATCCGATTTTTAAACAAATCGTTCTAGGTATATATCTGATTGAGTCGGCTATAATTAAAAAACAGCTAAAATGACACGTCAAACATACCATTTTACAGAAAAGAAACGAAGCTTTTTAACGACGTAAATACGTAAAATAGGAAAATATTTTTGTCAGAAATTAACCTCGTTTTTAAATGGAAAAAACAGTCCGATTTTAATGTTTGATACAGCTGTAAAATGCACTCGGCAATTTTTTAAAAACGAATTATCATCCGTGAAAATCGGTTCACTAGCTTTTGAGAAAAATGATGTTAGAACTTGCACTAGGAATGTCAGTAATGCAGGTCGTCGAAATTATCAGTCAAAAAACATTAATTTACACCGACGTCCGCAAAAGTCGGGTATCTAAGAGTTTTGTAACGTTAGAGTCACAAGAATTAGGTCAAATCCAAGTTTTGACGATTTTCTTACGTACGCTTACAGACTTCGACTTCTTAAAAATCGGAAAAAAATTAGGGGTAAAAAAAAATTTAAATTCAAACAAAAATTTATGTCTAGGGATCTCTCGAGGTGCTAAAACAAAATCTCATATTAGTTTCACGGAAAAGAATTTGTATGACCTAGTTTACTTTCAAATATTTGGTTTTTAATTTTTTTTTAAAGTTATTGATAAACTTTGGTAGCTTTTACTATAATTTGATTGCAATCTACATAAAAAATGCTGTAAGATGATATATTCACATAGTTGATTGGAGTAAGGAGAACGAGGCGAAATAAAAATACTAAAAAATGAACAATTTTCACTTTTTAAAAAAATTGGCGAAACTAGGCGTTCACATGAAGTGGCGGATACTTTTAGAATTTTAGAATAGAATCAACAAAAAAGTTTGGTCAAAAATCCGTGTCTCACCAACCTGATCGTCCCCTCGTTAGTTCAGTGTTATTACTCCATGAAACCACAATGAAAGATGAATATTTAAACAATTTAATTTATAAATTAATTTTTGACGACGACGAGTCGGACGGAAATGTGCAGTTCCGGTTAGAAATTGTGACGACTCACGGAACGGATATCGTCATCCACCCGGAAGCTGCCACACTGCAATTCAATGGTCAATGAATGAGATCGTAAGGCCATTGTACATTCACAATTGTACTAGTTCTCCAATTTGAAAGACGTTGGAAATAAATACGAGATACAATTGAATTGTCACTTTCTACTTATGTGGCCTGTAGAAATGTATAATATATCGGTGAAGATGGCAATAGGGTACAAATGGAGTGTGACTACTCCAAGAATAAATGAATTAATAATAAAAGTAATAATTATGAAAAATAAGGAGATAATAGCCCTGAGTTCGTTTTTCGCCTATAATAATAATAATAATAATACAAAGGCAAATAAACCTGAAAAGACATCACGATACAGGCAGCAATAGTCCAATATGCTGACAAATCCCAAGCCTCCACCTTCACGGGATGAAAAACCATTAAAAAGAGAAAGACGGCAATCTACAAACAAACTAAAAACTTTATCGCGTTTTATCTCAAATATTGTTACTAAATAACAGTGCTGAATCGGCATTGAGTATTTCAACAAACCCGCGAGTGAAGACGGACCCAATAGCGACCCTGTTCAGCATGCGTTCACCGACTCGCACACCCAGCATAAACGCTAAATAGTATAGGTTTGTATTTAGTAAGCGTAGCCGAACGGCGACCATGATCGGCTAGGCGCACCGGCCGATTCAGGAGGCACAAAGCAAAAGAATAAAAGACGGACGGCAGATTTTACTAAACAACGCAGTTTGTGCTACGTACAGTAAGATGCGAGTAGGCGGATAGTGATTGAGTTTCGTCTCCATCGCGGCTTTATACTCAAGTAATGTAAGTAGAGTTAAGTTAGGTAAAGTAGCATGATAATTGTTAATTCTGGCCAGATAGAAGGATCCATTTTTTTTTTTTTTTAAATAATACAACTTTCCCAATTTTACAACGTTCCAACTTTACAAATTTCCTTAAAACTCGGTCACTGAACTAATTGTCAATAACAAAGAGATATTACTCGGTAGATATCACAGATTCGAGAACGAATATTTTAAAAATATAGAATAAGCATGCTCATAGTTTATTAAATTATAATTATTGTAGTTAAAGCTATAAAAGCGATGATGAGCATATTTTGGTGTTGAACGGGTGTTTTTGAGTCAGTCAGCGTTCCATCTTGTCACCGCTCCTTTTCCTCCTTTTTATGCTCTCTCGCAAGTCTTTAGCTTACATCTTTCGTCGCTTCTTTATGAGCAGCCTCACAGACTTGACTTTTCTGATCAAGACAGTTGCCTTTTTTACAACTTGTACACCTAGTTTGTCTTTAATTAGTTAAAGCTATAAAAGCGATGATGAGCCTTTTTTGGAGTTGAACGGGTGTTTTTGAGTCAGTCAGCGTTCCAACTGGTCACATCTCCTTTTTATTCTCTCTCGCAAGTCTTTGGCTTTCATCTTCCGTCGCATCTTCATGAGCGGTCTCACAGTCTAGACTTTTCCGATTCTCTTTTTTTTACAACCTTTACCCCCGGTTTGCCTTTAATTAGTTAAAGCTATAACAGCGATTATGAGTCTTTTTTGGTGTTGGACAGGGTTTTTTAAGTCAGTCAGCGTTCCATCTGATCACATCTCCTTTTCCTCCTTTTTACTCTCTCTCGCAAGTCTTTGGCTTTCATCTTCCGTCGCATCTTCATGAGCGGCCTCACAGACTCGACTTTTCTGATTCTCTTTTTTTTTTACAACCTATACCCCTGGTTTGCCTTTAATTAGTTAAATCTATAAAAGCGATGATGAGCCTTTTTTGGTGTTGGACGGTTTTTTTAAGTCAGTCAGCGTTCCATCTGGTCACCGCTCCTTTTCCCCCTTGTTACTCTCTCTCGCAAGTCTTTGGCTTTCATCTTCCGTCGCATCTTCATCAGCGGCCTCACAGACACGACTTTTCTGATTCTCTTTTTTTACAACTTTTACACCTGGTTTGCCTTTAATTGGTTAAATCTATAAAAGCGATGATGAGCCTTTTTTCGTGTTGAAAGGGTTTTTTTGAGTCAGTCAGTGTTCCATCTGGTCACATCTCCTTTTCCTCCTTTTTACTCTCTCTCGCAAGTCTTTGGCTTTCATCTTCCGTCGCTTCATCATGAGCGGCCTCATAGACTAGATTTTTCCGATTCTCTTTTTTTTACAACTTTTACACCTGTTTTGCCTTTTATTTATTTAAAGCTATAAAAGGGATGTTGAGCCTTTTTTGGAGTTGAACGGGTGTTTTTGAGTCAGTCAGCGTTCCATCTTATCACCACTCCTTTTCCTCCTTTTTACGCTCTCTCGCAAGTCTTTGGTGTTCATCTTCCGTCGAATCTTCATGAGCGGCCTCACAGACTAGACTTTTCTGATCAAGACGACTTTGCCTTTTTTTGTAACTTTTACAACTAGTTCGCCTTTAATTAACAACTGCGCTTCTCCTTCTGGTCTTCCTCTTTGACGACTCCGCCTCGCTGTGAGAGTCGTTCTTCTATTCCTCCGCTTGCCCGTTCCACGAGTCCCTGGGTAGGTTCTCTTTTTTTCAATCTTCGTTTTCCGACCTTATCGTACAAAAAGGCTTTTCTTTACCTCGCTCCACAAAAACTCACACACTTCACCACTTCTTCCGATTCATGAAATATTGAATTTATGGATTCTAATTCTGGAGCATGTTCTAATATTATAAGAACAAACCATTAATATTATGAAGAGGAAAAATTTAATTTTTAATAAAGAAACATAAAAGTAGAAATTTAACAAAAATAGAATATCTGTCCACTAACAATTATCATACTACTTAACCAAATGAACTTAGTCGCACCTCTCTTCTCTTTTTTCATCTTGGTTTTTCGTGTAATGTATTTATACTACTTGAGTCATAAAAGCCACAATGGACATGGAACTCAAGTCACTGTCCGACTACTCGCACCTACTACGTATGCACAACACACATTGAACGTTCTTTAAGAAAAGAAAAAATCTGTTATTAACTTCTAAAAAACCGGAGCGTATCGTACACTGTCGAACCTAAGCTTCGACCACCGTCTGGCATCTTCTTTTGCATAGTGCCTCCTGATCGGCCGGTGCCGCATAGCGATTGGTCGTCGATCACCTACGCTTTCCAACCTAGGTACCTATATTTTTATTTATCTATTTTATTAAATTAGTCTATAGCTATATTTCTCTAATGGAGTATTTATTTCAGAGCGTTATGTCTTCTAAACGATCAATTTTGTGATCAACTAGTCAGCCAGACAGGAACGCGTTATAAATGAATTTCTTCGAAGATTACTGACAAATGATAGCGCAACAAGAAATTCTAGCAAAGTGGGGAGAAAGTAAAATAAATCCCTGCTTAGGGCTGAACGTTTTGAGAAAGAAGCTAGCATTTCGTCCCAACTATACCAACGAGAAAAAAAAAAGAGGCTTTCAGCGTTAAAAGCCAAAAGGTGTCTAGGCAGTCGAAACCCTGATCACTTTTAGCGGAACACAGCGAGAATAGGCGGACCGGAACGATCAACCTGCAGTTGTGCACGATGGTACCACACTGTGCCAAGGACGTACACGAACCCAATTGGACATGAAGCTTACCTTTTACGATCACTGTAATATATATTTTTAAATCATATTGGATCAATAAATGAGGCTAAATATTATTGCAGAAATTTAAGATTTTGAGTTGTTTTCATTTGACTTTTTGAACTAAATACCTTGAATTAGCCATATCTTCATTCTTTCATTCTTCTCATACAAAGTTCATTAATTTTGATTTTATGAGTTTCCGAGTCCTTAAAGATCAAACAGGACAAAACCGAACACTTCCTAACTTTGGACGGAGGTCAACTGGTCCAATGTCTAAGTGGTCTTTAGGAACAAAACGTCACGTACGCCCGCAAATCGGTGAGGCCACAATTTTCAACTTTCTTAAAGCGGGTTCCAAAGCCAAAACAAAATAGAATCAAGTTAATAAGTTTTGGAGTAAACGAATCGCCTGTGCTTTTTCGGTTTTCACTTCTCCTAAAATACGAAGAGCACGTATATGCCCAATTAAGACCATTGAACCTACGCCGGATTAACTAGGCAATCTAGAGCGAATTTTTGTTCACTAGAACTATTAATCTTACATTAGCATCTACTTAGGTTGATTTTAACTTGGGCCCTTTGGGCGTTTCTTCGATCCAATGTTGATAAAACTTATTTCATCCTAATGATCTCCAAATGGGTAAGAATAATGATGTATTTCAATTAATTAATCTTTATATAAGGCATTGGTTGAGATAAAAAAAAGTCAGTCTCACGAGCGGGATTCGAACCCACGACCTTCGGCTTGATACGTCGCTACTCCACCACTTGAGCTATCGTGACTTCGATCCACTCGGACAACTTCCCATCTCAACCCCACCTTTCGAATTTTCCCTCCTTTTTGCCATTTTTATCTCGACCAATGCCTTATATAAAGATTAATTAAATTAAAAATGTTATTCGCTCAATCGGACCACGAACTCTATGAATATAATGATGAATGTTGCTTTCAATCATCGCGAAAAAAAATCTTTTATCGAAATTTTCAAAACTGTTGAAAATCAATGGGAATCTTCTCAAATCCCGTATGGTAAAGATGATGTAAAGAATTTTTCTTTTAATTTCTCTGAGCAATCTTCGAAATGAGTAAATCATGCGCCGATTTGATCAAAGGGTCCTATAATAATTTTCTAATTGTGAAATCATGTTTACAGAGAGGGCGCCGATGGTGAAAGTGAAATAGTGAGCCTGTCAGTTGTTAGAACGGGACGTTAACCAGATCACCTTGGAGATCCTTTGACCGTCAGTTCTGGTTTAATAACTCGACCTTTTCTTCCAGGATAGAATTTCCTTCCCTGTACTATTTCGTCCGACGGACAAAAGCGGGTAGCAGGTGCACGTTGGGACGGACGGTGCAGCGTTAAAAAAACGGTACGAAGGTCTCGAAAGACGCCGGATAAGACTTGGGAGCTTTGTTCATTCCAGAGAATTTTCTATCAATCGAATCTAGCTGAAATTTGTCAAAGATTGAAAAAAAAAACAGTTTCGTAAATCAGGTAGTGTTTGTGTTTATTAATTTCTTAACTTTTTCGAACTTTCGTTAGTGTTTTGTTTTTTTATAACGAACATTGTTTAATTCTGTAATCGTTTCATGCGACCTCCAAAAATAATACAGTTTAGACTTTTTTTTTTTTTTTTTAACAAGTTTAAATTAAACGTAATCAGTTTTATTACAAATAATTCGGAATGTTCGCACTTATAATTTAAAAGCTATTCGATGACGATATTCGGTTCATCTTTATGTTTCAAACCTAAAAATTGAAAATTTTGAATTAAATTGTACACTGAGTGAACTTGCCCTTTTGACCATTTGACCCCCGTCGGTTCAAATATCGCCACCGAGAGAGGAAAACAATTTTACCGAAGTCCGTTATTAAAATGGTCGACAAAAAGCATTGTCCTTTAGAAAAAAAAAAGCACCGCCAATCGTTAAAATATTATAAAAATGATTAACAGTAAATCGATTTAATTACATCCTAATACACAAAAAGAAACTTAACCAAATTTAAGTTAAATACACTTTACTTAACAAGAACAATCTTTATTCGACTTAACTTTTCTCTGGTCCGGAATATATTTTCAAAAGTTAAAACACAAAATTTTAATAAATTAAAAATAGTACAGCAAGTAAGGATGAATCGAAAGATCGGATGACACCATCAACCATAATTTTACTTTTCTCGTGGAGTCCGATCAAGGAATTCAGATATCCACTGATGATGTGTAATCATCGCAGATCCGACGATTCGGCCTCTTAATTGGCCCTTAATTTGGCCAAACGAAAATAGACGCTTAGAAACAAATTCCAGCCCGCAACGAATTAGAGAACAAATATAGACCAACTTCCTTGTTTTCCTCAATTTTCATTTTTTCCCTATCTAAGCAGGATAGAACGTATTTTTGTTTTATCTAATCCGAACACTTTGTGATATATCAAGTTTTCTATTTGTTTCTTGACCCAATCAATTAAGTTTCAATTTTTGTCTATCAGCAATTTAAAATTTTATTTTTATTGTCGACCCAATAAAATCCAAACAGGGAATGTCAAAAGTGTCTTTACTTTTCAGACTTGACGATCATTTTTATTTTGGTTATTAGTAACCGAAAATCATCTTTAGAGAATCTTTAATATATAAAATTATACATGTTTCTGGCAACTGCGCAAACACGGAAGGAAATTTAACTTTGAAAATTGTCAAATCATACCTTCGTCCCGTGTTTTGTTTTAATATTCATAAGATCGAGGTAATAGAATTGAATATGGACAAGCACGTGATGATACAGATAGGCGGGGATTTTCAGTTTTTAAATTAAGTCCCTTGGGAAGTATCTCCTAGTGATAGTCCATAAATGTTTAAGGTTTTTATACAAAAGTGAATTCGGGTTGTTCAAAAGGTCGGTTTTTCCTACTTTTTCACCCCCATTGTATTGACAGTTCGTCAAAAGCTGACGAACGGCTTACGTTTCAGCATAATACCATCTTTTCGATTTGATCGACAAACATCACACTAAACATTGAATAACGCCTACGCCAATTTAAAAAAAAAAAGTGAAATGTCAAGCGTAAATTGTTAAATGCATAATTTATTTGCAATTTTATCAAATATACTTTATCATTTAGCAATATGATGACAATGTGAAAAGATGTCAATTATATATACGACATTAAGAAGTCAGGATAGCTCAAGTGGTAGACCAGCGGCGTATTTAGCCGAAGGTCGTGGGTTCGAATCCCGCTCTTGGCACTGGCTTTTTTTTATCTCAACCAATACCTTACATAAAGATTAATTAATTGAAAGAAGTTATTTGATCGATCGGACCACGAAATCTAATTAATATTTAGAATTGTTCATGTCCTCCCCCCCCCGTAATAAACTGTAACACGGAAAAAAAAGGGAAAAGTGGACAGGAAAAAATTACGCGATTTAATTACCCTAATTAAAATTATGAATCATCCGGTTTGTTTTTATTTTCTCGTATTACACCTACTCGTAATTTATTTCAAGATTTCCGAGATAGTACGGTGAGTGCAGACCTGCAAGGATATCATAATATAATCAACAAACCCTGATGTAATAATTTATGTACTCAGAACATGTCGAGTAGAAAAGGAAAAAAGGTTAAACACTTTAAAAAGATAATTTCCTACACTCCTTTATAACTGAACGCAAATAATAACAAATCGTATAAAAATAATGCTTATGTACTTAACTAAAATTAGAATTTCGCGTGTTTAAACTATCAATTTAATGTACAAAGCAGTAGATTTTTTTGTAAATTGTTTTTCAGTTTTCTCGTCAGATATTACATATAAAAAACACTTTCAAATATCGGCACGATAAAGAAATTATCACCTTGATGTCAGTATGATTTTGTAATGCCGTAACCTTGATTATTTCTTGTCTAGTTATTACATTTACTTTTCATTTTCTATTAAGCTAACTCGACAAAATTTTTAAGGTTAGTAAATTTTAAACACGTGACTGGAAGTTCACATTGTGTAAGTCCCAAAACGATCTGAAGTTTTGTTTTTTGTATGGTGTGTTTGTGCGAATTTATTTAAAATTGAAAGGTGAAAATCAAGTTAATTTTCTAAAATTTTAAAATTGAGTGTTTAGAATTTGGTTATATTGGGCCATATATTGATGATTATGATGTACTCACGAGCCATTATGATTTATAGGCTAAATTAGCGAAATATTTTAATATATAGTATAACGGCGTATAAAGTACGCGTAACGTATAATTATAAAATATACTATAAAATTAGTCATTCGATAATGTCAATAAACAAGTTGAAATTTCTACTAGAAGTTTGTATTTAAAATCTTCGATCCTACCTTCGATCGTTCTTCAGAACGAGGTGTATTTAATCCCAAATGGCTTCTTCTGGACCCGATTGTCTCACACGCGTTTTGACACACAACGAATGTAAACGAGCGAAATGTAACGGAACGTCAGCCGACAATCACTCTGAGGAGGATGGGACGCGAATGAGGAAAGGCCCCGAGTCCGTGGAGAAGGAGATCCTGTTGAATGAGAGCGAAGGGGGTTGTTGTGGTGGGGCGGCTCCTTTTGGGCGGGCTGCTATTGGCGAGCCCGGGAATTTTGACAGGATCTACACTGTCGTGGAGACCAATTGTGGTCCAATCTTGGGATTTGAACGATTAACAACGTCCAACGAGTTCGCAATCTGTCAAAAATCGATCTACACCCTGTATACAAACTCTCCTTCCGTTTGTACACTTTCATTCTTATAAATTTGATATACACTGACAGGCAAAAATTCCACGCAACTGATTTTTTTTAAATTTTCTCGATAAAAGAAGATTCTTCTCTCAATTGGTCTCATTGTTTTTATCAATAAATATTTGTTCGTGCTTTGTTTTAAACTGGGAATATCAATTGGAGGTAAACACACAATCTTTAATCCAAAACAAGATAAAGGATTTTTCAATGTTTACTTTTTACGGAATGTAAAATGTTTATTCAGTCTCATTTGAATTCTGAAGCAATAAACGGTTTAATTTTCATCTTTGTTTTCTTAATTTCAATTTTCAAACTTAAAAATGCCACGTAGTGCTGAGGATGTTGCGCGTGGTGTGCCACTACCGATGATGGACATTCCATCAGGTATGCGCCTATTGCCATCGGAGTTCCCTATGAAACTCTGCGAGACGCCGTTGGTCGTTTTCGAGAAACTGGATCCTACCATAGAAGGCCCGGTTCTGAACGCTATAGGCTAACAAAACCACAGGATGTCCGTTTTTTGACATTGAGAATTTTGCGAAACCGGCACCTTACTGTTATTCAAGCGATTCATCAGATCCAGGAAGTTCGTAGTGTCCAAATTTCTGAACGCACTGCTTGAAGAAGATTAAATCAGTATGGCTTTTCGCCCTGTAAGACGACCAGAATTGACCAGAACACACAGACTTCATGGCCTGCATTTGCTCGAGAACACACCATTGGTCTTTGTACGATTGGTCTGCTGTACTTTTTACAAATGAGTGTAGATTTGCTCTACGATCTCCAGCTGGGTTTGAAAGAATGTGGAAAAGGCGAAATGAAAAGTACGAAGCCTGCAATTTTTCCCAGACCCAATCTTTTTCAACTTGGCTCAATGATGGTGTGGGCGGGAATTTCAATGGAGAGTCGCACGGAGTTGGTTGTTGTTCGTGGAGGGTATTTGACGGCCACTTGCTATGAGGATGAAATTTTGGAACATCAATGCCTATCTTCGATGAAATCAGCGACAATCCTATTTTAATGCCTGTCCATATGTTGCTCGAATAGTACAAACGTACCTTCAACAGCATCACATCAGGGTCTGAACCTGGCCAGCACGTTTTCCAGACTTGAACCGCATCGATCATTTGTGGGATAACCTCAAAAGATGAATAAGAGCACGTCCATCCTGATACACTCCACGATCTTGAAAGGTCTCTTCCTGAAGAATGGGCTAACCTCCAGCAAAGAGACATTTCCAGACTGGTACAAACCATGCCGAGGCGTCTTCGAGAAGTAATTAAGCAAGAGGAGGAAATGCGCCATATTGAAATGTTAATTAAAAATTTAATTTTAAAAAAAATTCTGTCCTTTTTTTTAAATATTTTGTTTTTTCCTTAGCAATTTACTTTTTTTTTACTTTTTTAGACAAAGACTTAATTATTAAATGTTAAAAAACGTGAAACTTTGATACAAATATATATAACTTGATATAAACAAATCAAGTTATATTACAAGTGGGCGGAAGATTTGCCTGTCAGTGTATATAAAAAAATCATAAAACTGGTACATACAGTAAAAGGTACCTTGAACCCATAAAATACCATATATCGACATAATCACGCTACTCCAAAATTAATATATTGCAGATTTTACATGTAATCGTCCTATCAAAATATATTGCCTTCTAGCATTCTCCCAAGTAAAAGTGAAACAACAAGGCGAACTATCATAGAGT